GGATAGGAGAATTCAAAAGGATTTAGGAGAAGAGACTGCGGTGCTTTAGAGCAGAGGTTCTCAATTGTTTTTCAGCCAAGGACCCCTTACAAGATAGAGAATACATCAAGGACCCCCTCATTCTGATTTGTGATTTTGGGGCTATATAAATAAAAATTGACTTGATTTGACATGTATGTCCCTTGGAATAATCTGACGCCTATTTTTTACAATTCTATAGTCTTAGTTATGTGAAAGAACAACACAAGAGAAATGTATTAGAAAGATATTAGATATGTATTAAAAAATATTTGCACCATCTCAACACAGAATACCCATAAAACAATCAATCAATTAGCTGCAAGTAACACTGTACCTAAACAAAATATCAAAGGGAAATCAAGAGAAAAGTGATCATTTGAAGTGCATTTCAGAACACACACACACACACACACACACACACACACACACACACACACACACACACACACACACACACACACACACACACATAAATATAACACATCAAGTGTTTCACTCTTAGTTAAATGATTTATAAAAGTCTAATCACAAAATAAATGCAGGCTATACACAATTGAACACATGCCTGCATTGCAACATATATCAAGTCAATTGCAAAACAACTGCATTGCTACAATCCCAAACCACTAATTGTAATGGCAGCCAGCTCTGGACACTATTGGAGTGATGCAAGGCAGTCCATGAAGCTGATTGCTTCTCTCTGCAAGTGAAGACACGCAAGGTGTGGCCCTTAGTGTGGGTGGGACCTTGGACATGCTGCGTGATGTTAAAGCACTCCAATAGTGACAGAAACTCAGCGGCAAAGGTGCAGGTGCTGGAGTCCATGTGGATGTTAAAATCACATAGCAGTAGTGTGGATGGGGACATGGAGCAGATTGAGGTGAGAAGCTCAGACAACTCAGATATGAATGAGGTGGAAGGTTTGGGGGGGGCGGTAAATGAGGACGACCTGCTGCTTTGAGGGGGCAGCCACTGAGAAGGCAATGCACTCAAGTGAGATTTTATTCGTCACAAGCAGCTGTTTGACAGGGATATCTGCTCTGTGGATGACTGCCAGCCCACCACCACGACCAATGGAGCGGGGCTGTTGGAGATAAGCATAACCTGGGGGGGGGTGGCTAGGTTGAGTGTGAGGAAGTCCTGTTGGTTTTGCCATGTCTCAGTGAGGCAGAGAAAATCCAATTTCCTATCAATGATGATTTCATTAATAAGTGATGCTTTGTTGTTAAGGAAGCGGGTATTTAACAACATGAATGTGTGGGAGTTGTTATATGTTGCAATGGCTGGTAAAACAGTGATGCCATCAACACAGGCCAAGGGCTTCAGGTTAACACTGCACACGTGTGGTTTGTTGTGATGACGTAAGTGGGCGGTGACGGAGCGCCGGTGTTACCGTTTAACTGGTTACACCGGGGAACTCGTTACGTTACGTTAACGGTAGGAATGGGGCGTGTACTTTGAGGAGCCATTGTCGAATAACCAGGAAATACACATTTCGATCGCTTCTTTTGTTGTTTACATTTATCTTTTGGTATATTTGGCTCCATAGGAACACTTTGATGCACATTCAGTACCAGTGTGTGAGGTTGTGGTTGCGATGCCGATATCCGGACGCGTACAGCGAGGACTACAAAATGACAATGAGGTGACTGGGGATGTCTGTTCAAAAACATTGCAAACGTGAATAAATCATTTCAAATATGTATTTGTCTCCGACTTTCATTTGTACATCGTTGTTAATGTGATGTTTAGTAACTTTGATAGCTGTCCATACCTCCAGACAGCCTAAAAGTAAGACACAAGTTGTTTACTCACAGCCCGAATGCAGCATCGAGATCCGTGGCCAGCTGTGATCCTCTCCGATTAACTTGTGACGGGACTTCTTTAGCTATTCTCCAGCGAGCAAGGTTTTTATTAAATACCTCCATCCCTCTCATCACAACAAGACTCTACACTGTGCAGAAAAAAAAACAACATAAATGAAAATAACCTTGCTGGATAGCTTAGAATGAAACAAACAAACTATCTTCCATGGCTGATACTGATGTCACAGTAACGGCTAAACCACAGACAAGTCCAGCGGGGGGGGCACAAGTTGAATCCATATAATGAAATTGTTATTTTATATATATGTATATACATATATATATATACATGCTATATATATTTATATGTATTTCTATCCTACATTGTCTAGGCTATATAAACCGGCGGAAGTGTCACAACTTTCTTGGTTTGTGATTATAGAGAGAGATAGATAGCGACAGAGAGATAGATAGAGATACTGTAGAGATAGACATAGAGAAAGATCGGCTGTGAGTAAGTGAGTATTGTGTGTGTGTGTGTGTGTGTGTGTGTGTGTGTGTGTGTGTGTGTGTGTGTGTGTGTGTGTGTGGTGTGTGTGTGTGTGTGTGTGTGTGTGTGTGTGTGTGTGTGTGTGTGTGTGTGTGTGTGTGTGTGTGTGTGTGTGTGTGTGTGTGTGTGTGTGTGTGTGTGTGTGTGTGTGTGTGTGTGTGTGTGTGTGTGAGGGAGAGAATAGCTGTAGGGCTAACCAAGAGGGAATGGATTCAGGAGTTGTTAAACAACAGATGGATTTTATGATCCACGATATTTATACTGATGGCTTGAAAAAAAGAACATTGTTGACAATTATCCTTTATTATCTTGTATGAATATATCTGGTATATTGCTCATTTTCCATAAAAGAAAAACATTTATTTGAGTTTGATGCATACAAATACTGTAGATGATGATTGTTGAAAATGCACTTTTACCATAAAACGCCAGCACGACCAGTTGGGTCATTTTGAGGTTCATAAGATCTTAAGATCTTTTCATAGTTCATTCAATCATACGTATTGGGATCATTTGTATTAATGTGGACCGGAGGGAGAGGGTGACGAGCATAAGTTTCACTTTCCTTTTTTATTTCAATTCCAACTTTGGTCATGAAGAATATGTTTCTCTGTTGTCCACGTTCATAAAGCATAAAGCAACAGCATCAGAGCACGGTGCAGAGTCTCTAGATGAGTTTACAGTAGTCCCACGTTCTTATTAAACATCCATGTTGTAGTCCGCTGTATAGAAAACTGTAGTTTCCATAGTTTCCCCACAGCAGCAGACGCACATTCATGACGTCCGCTGGCGCATCATAAACACGTCGGATAGTGAAAGTGCATTCGGATTCTCTAAAGTACCGCAGTCTCTTCTCCTAAGTCCTTTTGAATTCTCCTATCCACTATCCCTTAACCCTGTGACGTTTCACTCAGAGGTCAAGGAATAGACGATAGAGCTGTTTTTGGACTATTCGACCGCAACTGCCGGAGTCTCTTCTCAGTCAATGCTGATGTTTTAGACTTTATCAAGAAGAGCCTAAGATTTGTATACATTAAGGACTAACACATCATCTTGATAAAACATTAAAAAAAGGGATACATTTGCAAAATGACTCAACTTTAAAAGAAAAAACTCTTTTTGACCCACTCTTTGAAAAGCATATAGGCTACACAGGATTTTCAAACCGACAGTTTGTATATGAAAGGAAATTGGAAATACAAAATCATTCAGATGCAACTTTCAAATAGGCCAAAAGAAAAGTCTTAATAAAACATTGTTATGTTATATATTGACAACATGTTTAAGGGGACTTAAAGATAAAAAATACATATATATATATATATATATATATATATATATATTAATTTGACTTTGAAACCAGTGTCAGTTAATACATATATTTTTTAATTGGCTTCTGGTTAACCAACTTAAATTAAACACACATGGTGAAATAAAGATGAGAAGCAGGACGGTCTGAATATTAGATTAAATAACTAAATAGTTAAAACACTTGAACAACATACAATAGTGGTAGAATTCTCACTGTGAAGTCTGCTGCCAGTGTCAAAGGTCAACAATCCCACCAAATTAATCTAAAAGGTCAGTGAGATTTTAGAGAGTCACATTGACCTATACATGTCATAAAAAGGAAAAAGTAGAAAGTAGAAACGGAGTTTGGAGGATTACCTGCAGGCTTTTTGACACTGGGCTACATTCTCTAAGCATATCAGGTCATTTCTTACCCATGCTGCACTGCTGACATTGTAAAGGACAGTGAGATGAAGGACGTTGAGGAGTAATGACAAATGTTGAGTGTGATCCTGTAAGGAGCCACATGTATCTGCATGCCCCCCCAATGGTCCAGAGAGGTAGACTTGGAAAGTATAGAAGAATTGATGAGAAGAAAATCACCCTTTTTTAATTTATGCAGTACAATAAAAACATTTTGCCCTTTTTCTCCAGCATAATACCATGCCTTTGATTTTCTGCCTGGTTCAGTCCGCTGTTGCTCCCCTGCCACTGCTACAGTATGTATTCACACAAAATCTGAAGTGACACCTCGCACCAATCAATATTTTTACAAGTTGTAACAAATAGCTGGGGATAAAAACTCACAAAAACAACCAAACTACAAAGAGTTGAATCACAGTGTACCCTATCCAGTTTCTGAAAAAATATCAAAATGACATGTTTTACCTCCACCTTACCATTAGTTAAACCTCAATGTTATCAACACTATATTAAAACTTTACAGCGCTTTTAAAGCTATTTCTGTTTATAGTTTTTATTAATTTGAACTTATTGGGGCCAGCTTGCACTAACATTGCTTACAGAAGAAATGTTAACTTCTGAAAAAATAAATATAAAGCTTCTGAGATTTAAAAAAGACAAGATCTGAAAATATATCATGAGAAGATCCTGCTAACCTTTTATTTGGTCTTTTATCTAATTGAAAAAGAGGCTATTGACAGACTTTATGGTCTGTTTGGGTGAACTGTATTTGAATAATCAGACACCATGGTTGGACACATTTAAGTCTGTGCAACATCTCACTTTAAAGCTCTGTGATAGTCTGTGAAATATAATCCTGTGATATTCCAGTATGTTTATAACCTCTTCCACCCCTCCTAAACTTTAGGGTTCTCCTCACCACCAACAGAACCCTCAACAAAATGGCGCCCTTTACATCTCCGACCTTCTTCTGATCTACTGCAAGTCTCCGGGACCAGGCGCCAAACCTGAGGTGATTTCAATCATCACTCTATCCTGTAGAAATCGTTACAAATCCATATAATATACACAATATCTAACAGCTTTTCTTTCTTTGAGGACTCTGATAATCAAGAATCAAAAGAGTGACTCTGGCTTAAGAACAACAGGCTCATGAAAAACCACTCAAATGACCTCACAGGATGTGGCACAAAGCAGAGAGTCTGGAGAACGTAGGTGATGAAGTGTAATAATGACTCCTCTCTCCTGTAACAGCCTCATTGATCAAGGACTGGCCTCTGACCTGGACATGAACACAAACTGAAAGTCATGTTGTCCCCCATTTAATGTGACTTCTGGAAAGAGCCAAAACAACCCAAAACCATTCCACAAGTGCACAGCCAGTTTGCAAAGTATAGTGGACTCAATTCTGTAATATTTAAATCTCTCTCTTTCTATTACAGCAACTAATGGAGACACTAATGTGCCGCAACATTGTGTTAAAAGCTTTTCTAGCAAAACCAAGCTCATTTACCGTGCCCCAATAAACATTCCTGGTCATCTTGCAATATACTAATTTATATATACAGTTATCTTATTTAATTTAGTCTTAATTTACATTATTTAATTTAATATTCTGTTCTTGTACATATCCCATATTCTATTGACATGTATAGGCTATAGACTTTTTGCACTACTTTTTATTTTGTATTTTTGTATTTTATTATATATGTTGCATTGTCGAAGGAGCTCAGGTCAGAAGAATTTCATTGCCATTTCTACACTCTAGCTTTGTGCATATGACAATAATATATTTCAATCTTCAAAACCTTTGAATATTTGAATCATAGACCATGCAGGGAAAAACAAAGTTGCACCATGGTAAGTGTAGTACCGAGTGTATTTGGCTTGACCATTTTCAATATCGAGGCCACCAGGACACAGCAGATGCTTTACTTTTGACTAATAGTTATCTTTATGAGTGTGCAATACTTAATCCCTTTATATTACTCATAACAAACTCTCATGTCATGCATAATACCAACACATAACGACAACAAAGACATAAAGAAGTTTGAAATACTTGAGGACAGATAACTTATTTATAGGATCATGCAGCAAGCGAGACACTAAAGGTTAACAACGCTCAACTATTCATTTATGTGTGTGCGTACAAATGCACACACACCCACAGATGCAAGCGCTCAAGGGCAGTGCTGAGACTACACGGCACGGGACAGAATATTTTCCAAACTGTTTTGCTTGACACATTTTGATTTAGACCGGAATATGCTAAGAGCCAACCCCCGTGTGTGCGCACAACTCTCAGGTGTTAAAGTTTCCCGTTTTCCCACCCACTGCTCGCGGCTCCTGCTCCTAACACTGTCACAACTTCAAAGTCAAAACAGAGGAGAGGTGGGACACACACACACACACAACACACACACACACACACACACACAAACACCACACACACACACACACACACACACACACACACCACACACACACACACACACACACCACACACACACACACACACACACACACACACACACACACACACACCACACACACACACACACACACACACACACACACACACACACACACAGAGAGAGAGAGAGAGACCCAGGCGTTCCAGTTTCTCCACATTTCCTCCCCTGCCATCCATCCAGAGCTCTTTCGTCCTTTGTGATGTATAATTGAAGCTGTGTGTAATTTCTCTCACTCGTTTCCACTGGAAATCCCACTTGGTGCTGAACTTTCACTTCTCTCATCCTTCAGGAATATTCTCTCTGAAGTGGAAAGACCAGCTCTTTGAACGTGCTGGTTAACATGCCCCCCCCCTCACATCCACCACCATGATCCATCTCTATTACACATCTCAGGAAAAGCAGTCTTAAGAAGCACTTCAGAAGTTCAGATAGTGTCGAAGTCAGATTTTACAGAAGTTTGCTAAAAGTCATTTGAGTTGAACAGGCTTTCTCAAACGACTTGTTTTCCTGTAGTTCATTTTATTAAACAATGAGAGGGAAATATTTGTATTTAAGGATATGGCTGGTGTCTTCATTTACTCAATGTACTAAGTATACACAAATGACTGTTTACTTTAGTCCCTAAAAAGACAGTCTGACATTGTTTTCTACAAATTATCTTAGAGGGACTTTTGTTAACAGATTTTGCTAATACAAGATAATATTTCTAAATGTAATTTATAGTTTCTCTTGGCCCTTTATCCTCTTCTGTCAGCCTTTTAGTGCATTTTGTGATGTCTTGAACAGTTTCTAAGCTTTTGTACCACCTCATTACCTCTTATAGCTTTCTAGATTGTTGTTTGTATGGTTGAAAGCTTTAGAAAAAAGCTAGTATGCAGACCTAAAGTTGTTTCATAACGTTGCTTAACTCGAGATTCAACAGATCAATGGCAATTCCAACCATCATGAGTCAGCCGGACTCCTGTTTCATAGTGAATGATTTGAATGTTTTTCTCATTTGGTGACCTGACCTTTTAAAGGTTACATTCATTCCCTGCTGTGGGAGCAGCAACACACAGGGAGTGACATGCAAGAAAGGTCTTTATCTACTTAGGGACATTGCATTATTATAATAACAATTGATTTAGTCATTTCTGATGTGGACACTCTGCTGATGAGACACATTTATGCTTGGTTCAGCCCAGACCATATACTATATTGTTGTCTTACACACATGCGCGCACACGCACAGCAGGTCTGCCCCTCTGTGTGACAGTGGACCTTTTATGAGTAATAAAGGAACTGACCTTGAGCACAGCACTGCTCTCAGATCAGATCTGATACTGAGCTGAACGCAGCAGAAGGTGGAAAAACAGCGAGGACAAAACTTAGGGCATCTGAAGAACTAGAGAGAGAGATTAGGCTTCTTCTCTTTCATTTTAAGATGTACAGGTTAAAGGATCAGAGAGTGGATACTACACCAAACACACTGGCTGTGCTTGACTTGAAATTGGTGACAACTGGGCCGAAATCTTCAGGTTCCTCAAAAGATGACACATGTAGCTTCTAACCGGGATTCACATGTCTGAAAGATAAAGTAATTGTAGACATCTGGGTTACATAACACTTTAGCAAAGCACTAAAGATGGGGTGTGTAGTTAGTTACTTTATATTGCCACATGCAATCCATCCACTATTTAATCTGCTATTTTATATTTTGCCAGCATATTAAAACAGAATCCAACAGTTTTGTGTAAATAGTTTGTAAATGCATTACATTCAAAGGTGATACAGTTGATGATTGATTTCTTTGATTAGTTCCAAAAGTCTGGAGAGGTTAATGTTTCCGGTATTTAACAATAAAAACTGCCAAAATCCAAGAAAAAGGAGGGGGAAAAAACATGTTTGTTGTGGAGGACTTTTAGGAACCAAGTATGAAGTATAAATAAAGACAAAAATATTGTTTCTGTTTAACATTTTATTCATTGTCCAAATTCATATCAGTAGACTTGGAGAAATAAAAGGTATTTTTTCCTTTTTAAACATTCTCTTAAACAAAAATATAACAACTATTTACAATCACTCGTAAAAAATACATAAAAAGCATACGAGCAAAATCATGTTGTCTTTCTAAAAGACATAAGTTACAACAGCTATGAGAAGTGTGAGACAAAAGCAAACGTTAAGCCACAGATCGAGTTAACAGCTCTGTACAGATTGTGCAGCACACTCACCACATCCAAGCTTATTGTTGTGCATTTCTGCTGTAATGCCAAAAAGATGTCGACTAAAAAAAACACATTCACATCTCTCTGATTGCATTCCAGGTAAAATGGCGCGGGGGGGGGGGTAATGTTGTCTAAAACACTGACATGTTGTGTTCAGTGCTCACTGCCGGATCCTCCATGAAAACACACCTATTGTATTTAGAATCGGAGAAAAAAGGGTGACTACAAAAAATGATTTATCCCTGAAAAAAAAAAAGAAGGTAAAATGTCGGAGTGCTTATGAGAGAAATAAAACAAATGTCCAACGTGGAGCCAGTTTCATTAAAAGTCTGTACAATAATAGTATGGATAACCACAAAACTCTTCCGGTGTCATGATTAGAGCTCATTATAAAAGCTGGTAAATATATATATAGCATTTCCTCTCACTAAGATCTGTGTACAGAGAACATTAATACTGGTTTATGGTAAAATAAAAGGAATACAGTTGTGCAAAAAAACAGGACTCAGTCTGTTTTGAAGTTTTTCTGCTGCTGAGATTTTAAAGGAAAAAGGGAGTACGGCAAGGCTCACAGTGGGATACTCATGATTCATGTAAGACCCTTAAGGATATCCATTAAACGAGTACAGTAAGGAGAACATTTGAAAAATGAAAGTCCCGCTGAATTGACAGAGCTGAGAGGGAAACATAGATTATACCAGACACAGCATGGTGGCAGGGCTTGTTCCGGGATACAAAAGCGTAGTCCTTTCAATCACCAGCCTGAGTTTGAATGCATCGCGCCGTAAGCAGGAGCAATCACTGCTGCAAAAGGGCTTTCACAGGAAATGACTTCTGAGCCTTTCCTTATGTGCCGCATGCCAAATCCAAAGGGGAGTGAAAAAATGCTATGTTGATTTTGCAAATATAATTCCATCTCTCACACACACACACACACACACACACACACACACAGTCGCACACTCATCCCAAAACACAGCAGCAATAACGATTATATATGGAGCAGAAATGGCACCAACAACAGAGTGTGAGGGGAGACAACAAGTCATGATTATGAGTAAAAACTAACAGAAATTCCTTAAAGATTCCTGCCCGTCGACAGAAACTGGGCAATCACAACCTTGGATTATTTCTTATAACAAAATATTCAAAAATAGCCTTTATAGAGGACTCTCTTCTCTCATCTATACATGACGTTAATTTATGGCAAAGGAAAAACAAAAATATCTATGTATAAATTCGTATATATGCCATGTATATATTAGCATGAGTCATTTCAAGTCTTTGTGTGGCAAAACAATACAAAAGAAGCGTCACAGAGGAAAGGGAAGAACGTCATATTCCAGTTACACCCCCGCTGCAGATCAACACAATTCAAAACAAGTTCTCCGTCTCCAAAGCATCAGCCAGAATGTACAAATGTGCTTCTGTTTTCAATACAAATAGACAAATGTTCAAGCAAATCCTTAAATAGTCTACAAAATGTACTATGAACATGGAATGGAGATGCAAGCGTTAGAATACATAATCTGTCGACTCGTTTTGTCGCTCGTTCTTTTAAATAAGATGCGATACGAGGGGTACACTGTGAGAGTCGAAGTTTATGCTGCATCTCATATCCCTGTTGCTCTATAAACAAATGTACAAGGTCAAATAAACCGTAAGCATTATACTTTAACATCTCTGCTTGTAATACGACTGGTCTAATAAACACTGTAAACAAAACGTGTCGGTGTAAACACTGTCCTTTGTATTTACGCACACCCTCTTAGATCGTGGTGTGTGTGTATATGCATGCGCGTTGTGCGACCACACAGTGCTAATTTATCGTTTTATTATAGCTGCTGCAATAAAATAAGGACACGCGTTGTACTCTACACGAAGCAGCGAGGCATTTTGTTCTTCAGCTCATTAAAAACGAGTTATAATACAGTTTTTATAGAACATCCAGGAGGCAGCATGCCGCTAAAGTACCTCGCGTCAGACTGAACGGGCGATAAGAAAGGGGGGGGGGAGAGCGTGACTTCAAGACACACAACTGCCTGAGAGACGCTCAGATAAAAGCTAAACAAAGTGGTAAACACAATAAGAATTCATCTCTGTGACTTCAGGAGTTTCATTTCTAATTGTCGCCTCTTAGGTGGAGTGAAATATGGTTTCATTTGTTTGTGTGGGAACTGATTTGTAAATGAACATCATCAGTGCCAGGGTTGGATAGAGGTCCATGAAGACCACTAAATGTTTTTCTGTGTGTTTCTATTCGTCTACATTCATCTTCTTTTGAGCTGACAGCAAGCGAAAAATTAAAATATCCCACCTTCCCCTCTGACTACAGCTTTCTATCCTTTTCTGCTCCTCACAATTTAACTTTGCAAAGCTCAGAAATGAAGATAATAAAACCTTAAAAACAATGTGAAACTCCCCAAAAACAGAGAGCTTGAAAATGGAGGTACATTGTGGTCTGTTTCCAAAGAGGCCGATTCTTCTCGCGAGACGTCGTTAATTGTCACTTTTTCCTTCCTTCCTTTCTTTGTCCTTTTCCACGAACGCCTGCCTCTGCTTTGTTCAAGAGTTTTTAAAAAGTATTTCAATTCTTTCTTTTTCTTCTTTGTCTGTGAAATGGGTTTTACAAAATATATGATTGTACAAGTCTTGGGAGACCCACCCATTGGGTCACATGATCCAATGGGTGGGTCGAGAGGTGCATTGTGGTCCACGGTGATGTCACACAGGGCTGTGTGGGCGGGGCTTGGAGAATGTGCTCTGAAACGCAGTGAGTTCAGTCCAACGCCTGAGCGACACCACTTGGTCCGTGTGTGAGAATGTGTGTGTGAGGGTGGAGACCCCGCCTTCACACTGCTGACACTTGCTCATCTGGGGGAGAGGAGAGAAGAACATGTTTACAGGTTTGTTGGCATTGAATTCAAAACATTTCAGAGGGTTTCTGCAGAGTTAACCATGTCATCGTATTTAAGACCTTTTAAAGAATGACATTTCATATCTGTTTAAGATCATACCATTAAAACCTAGACAAATAGTACAAGCTAATTATTATAGGGATTTTGGTTTGTTTTAACAACCATAACTCTTTAAAGTGTGGACACTAAGTGGTTTGTTATCATGGCCCCCTCCTGTGGGATGAACCGCCCATCAATTAATGTAACACTTTTCCAGGGTTTCTGCACAGATAAGATAATTAAATACTTTATAGGACCTTTTTAACCCCACATATAATTAAATGTACTTCCTGTCACATCCTCATACTATTTATAATAGAATTAAAGGGTATTTTGGTTTGTCTTTATAACATTTAACTCTTTAAAATGTTGGCAAAGAGTCAAAGTGTGAAATTCAGTGTGGAGTATAGTCATGTTTCCCTCCTGTGGGACGTACCATCCATCACTTAATGTGATACATACTGCAGAGATAAGTAAGGTCATTTTAAACTCTTTAAGACCTTTTTAGCACCATATACAATTTAACTTACTTTCTTTTACGTCCTGATACCAGTTATTATAGAATTACAGGGGATTTGGGTTGTTTTTACATCATAACAAGTACATTCTTGTTTCCCTGCTGTGGGAAGTACCATCCATCACTTAATGTTAAACGCTCTGCAGAGCTAATAAGTACATTTTTAACACCATATATCATTGAATGTACTTTCTGTTACATCGTCATACCACAAGTAACAGAACTACAGGGGATTTGGGTTTGTTTTTAGAACATTGAAGTATATTCATCTTTCCCTCGTGTGGGACGTACCATCCTCGCTGTCAGCCAGATCCTGGGGGGGGAGGCAGATGCTGGGGGGTCTGGAGTGGACCTGGGGGGGGCCGGCAGTCCGGGCCTCCTGCTTGTGGAGGTGATGGTTCCCCGCCAGCCTCCGCGCCTCGGCCAGCCCCCCCGCCGCTCCGGGGCTCTTTAGCAGTTTGCTCCTCTGCAGCGCCACGCTGTACTCTGGAGGTCTGAGGTGGGGGGGCCGGGGGAGGAGGACTCCGGGCCCCACTACCACTCCGTCTGAGAGGCCGAGGTCCCCCAGAGCCAGACCCTGGTAGCCTGGAGGGGTGGGAGGGGGAGCTCGGTAACGCTCATCCTTGGAAGGGGATGTGATACAGTACACTGGATGCAGGTGGTGATCAAAAGAAAAGCAGGGATGGAGAAAAAAGGAGGGGAGTGAGGGATGAAGTAGCAAAGGAAGATGATAAGGGGGGGGGGGTGCAGGGAATTGTAGGGAGAAACAAAAGAAATTGATGGATAAATTAAATCAATGTGATGTTTCACTAGCACAAATAACTACATGCATCAAAATGTGTTGAAAATCAAAAGGAAAAATAAACAACCAATGAGATGGAGCGGATACAGACAGAGCTACAGCTGCAACTAACGACAACCGTCATTGTTCAATTATCTTTCTATGATTTGAATCGATTACTCGTTTGGTTTCTAAAACACATTAGAAAATTGTGAGAGATTCGATCGTAATTATTGTTTTGTTTCGCTAAAAGTAATCAATAAAAAAAAAAAAATCTCACATCTGAGAAGCTGGAAGCAGACACTGATTGGCCTAAATGATTGATCGATTATCAACATTCGATGTACCATTAGATTCACTGACCCATTGTTTTGTAGTGGACACAACATTGCCCTATCTCCTGCCCTACTTGCTTTTCATTTAAAAATGTTCAGCAATAGTAGAAATGTGTAAGAAAAGGCTTGATCACGTCATAAAATGAGCTATCTGCACAATGAGATGTGTTTTGGAGATTTAAATAAGGATTTGCCGTCCTTTTACTAGACTAAAACAGCAAGTCAAGCATCAGAAAGCTGCAGTGATTTCTCCAGGACAACGGCAGACTGAACTTACTTTAGTGCATGGAAGTCTGAAGTACTCTTACAGCTTTACTAACCAAGCTTTAAATGTAGTTTAATGATATTCTACTGGGACCCTTCGAGCGGACCGTGTCACACTGTGTTTACAGGGAATCAAACTGGCAACCTGCCCCCTCACCTATCAGGCCTTTATCTGTGCTTGACGTCACGGTTTTGTAGGCGGGGTCTGTGCTTTGCCCTCCTTCCTCGTTGGTGGGAGAGGAGGCGTGCTCCGAGGTGTTTCGCCGCTTCACCGTCCCATAATTCCCCTCGTAGGTGTCCGACAGCGAGCCGGACGACGCCCAGCTCTGCCGCGACTGATTGGACAGATCGGAGCTGGACTGTCTGGAGTGATGCTTGGTGGCGTCCTCGTTGGCAAACGTGTGTCTCGCCGCCGCCTCCACCTCCGCGATGGGGCCGGCCAGGTGTGTGTGCTTGAAGCTGCCCAGGTGTGTGTGGGGGAGGGCCATCGGGTGCCCGTGGATGCCGTGGTCCCAGGGCCGGCAGGAGGAGGGGGGGAGGCTCTGGAAGGAGTCGTGGGAGTTGGAGGAGCAGGACGTCCAGCTGCCCCGCCCGCTGTCCCCCACCGAGTCCAGAGAGGTGTGGTCCGGGGTCAGCTCCTCCGTGGAGATGGAGGAGGAGAAGGTGGAGGCTTGATACGCGTATCCTCGAGACATTGACGAGGAACTACTGTGGGTTCAAAGTAAAGTGGGGGAAATGTTGTATTTATTTATTTGTTTATTCCACACATGGCAGTTATTTTAAAACAAAACACTTTACAAAACATGTACACTTATTTCATTTTGTTTTGATCAGGGAGCAGGGAGAAGAACATCTTATCTTACCTGCCCCTTCCTCAAAAGAACAATGAAATAACCATACAAATGTTAAGTAAAAGCAATATTCTTTCAGTCACAGTTGCTTACAAATACTGAAACATGAACACAATCATAAGTCAACTTCATACTGTCTAATTACGCTTTCTTTCTGCATTTTCTTAAACATTCAAATGTTCTTACAGCCCTTTAAATCATTCGGTAAATAATTCCACTTCTTTACGCCGACTACAGAGACGCACATCTGCTTTAAAGTAGGACGTGCAAACTGATGCTTCAAATGTAGTTTCCTCCTATGACGCTCATCCTCTGAAATTAAAACACATTTGTTTTGTATATTTCTGGCGGTATTCTGTTTATTGCTTTATGCATAATTAAAGCCGTTACATTTTAACAGCTTTGACTCAATACATTGTTTGTTTGTCTGTTCTCTAGGTTGTGCATTATGCTAAATTCTCACAGCTTTTTTCTGTAATGTAATTCAAGTTTAAATATTTAATTAAATATACTAATGTGTGCAAAAAAGACTTAAATTAAGAGAATAAATGAGGGCTAAGACTATCAATACAAGAGAGAAAAGGAAAGAGGGAAGTGAAAAGTGGGTTTCAAAATAATATAGAAGGTGAAATGAACTGGCAATAAAATAAGAGTGAAGAGGTTCAATAACTATAGAAAGCTGCTGAAGGTCAAAGAGTCATGCCCTAACAAAACAGTAATAACTGGAGCCAAAATAAAAAAGAGTTCAATGTTACACAGCTGGTCTGATTTGTCTCTACACCATCTTCAATCGATATTTAGCAAGACATGGTACGGTACAAATATATTCAAATGTTGTTTCCCTTGTAAAATACTGTCACAATTAATGACAGGTGAGTACAATGCATGCCTCGATTAGACAGTTGCTTTGCACATAACCACAAAGCAAATATTTACCACTGATTCCTTTATTACATATCACTATGTCTGGCTCTTAAAAAACGTTGTTCCCCTCAGCAGCTGTTCTTAAACCAGCCGTCTGATGAACTGACATTTTACTGGATAAACAAGCCACTCAATGAAATTGAGCCATATTTCATAAAACAGACCGGGGGTTTACAGCAGGGCTGCCGATGGAATATAAGAACAGAAGCAGACAGATTCTTGTGTGTGGCGATATTTTAAAGACTCCTCTTTAGGATGCAGAAAGGCGTGATCATGGAGGAATAATAAACAAACGGCACACAGTAAAAAAGGTTTCTTCTACTCGGGCAGATTAAAAAGCTTCCCGTGTTAACACAAAGTTAACAGAGGAGAGGAGGAGCGAGGAGGGCAGTAAATGTGGGACGCTAATAAAAAGCTGCCGTGTTTATGACTTCCTGCTCTCTGAGTTTTAATGAGGAAAGGACATCATTGGGGTCCAGCCGGTGGAGGGGCTGTGCCTCTGAGGGGAAATGTTCTCTTGTTGGGCATGGGGAGGGTTTCTAATAAGGAGTGCTTGTGTCTGTGGCTGGAGTCAAGGCCTTGTAAGAGATCATTCAAATCAATAATAAGCAAAATGTTTTGTGTTGTGTCCTTCAGTCAAGTTGAATCGGTGCGACTTTGAGTCCTAAATGCTTTTGTCTTTGAGCTACTTTAGTACATTTTGAGAAGATTTATTTCTCTTATGGTCAGTAGGAGGACTTCAATATTGTGTCGAGATGGTCAGTGATTTTATTCACATCTGGAGGGCATATGTTTAGATTTGTCAACCTTAACCCCAGTAATAATTACAGCCCCAATTACTCACTAGTTGTCAGACTAGTAGGTCCTCATTAACTTCAGTCATTTTGCATTTTAGAAAAGTATTTCTCCGACTATTTGTAGTGACTTCTAGTGATTTAGATAAATGGAACTTCATGCTAACATGCTAGTTTCCCTTTCTGCAGTCTGTTGTTATGCACATGTTTACACATACAAACAAATTGCCAAGAGGCATTCTCCATCAGATACAGAGCTGAGGAAATCAGGTTTTTTCTTACTACTCAAAAGCTGACTGTAACTCTGTTAATTGAGTGCTGTGAGCTTACTCCATTTTGAGAAAAAAGGATTAGCACTCAAGGAATTTACTTTATGTATTAGTCTCTTCATCAACGTTAATTCATTAACTGTACCTGACAGATGAGATGAACAGGATTGAATTACCTTGTGCTGGCCTGGTTGTAATCAGCGTTTACGTGTGCATGTGATGCTGCTGAGCTCTCAGCAATAGGAGGAGCAGCAGCGGTTGCTGTGGTAACAGCAAGCGCAGCAGAGCTGGTCCTGGAGCTGCTGCTACACCTGTCGTCCAGCCCGGGGGGGGGCACCGAGTCCACCGAGCAGATACTGGAGCGGGACGAGATCTCGCTGTGACTCGAGTCCGACAGGTTGTCTACTTTACCCGCTGGCAGGAGAGCGTAACCTGGGCAGGGGAGAGAGGAGCATTTCATCTGTCAGTTATATGCAGATTATAACAATAAATAAACTGAAAATAGGATGGAACGGGAAAGACTCAAAGAGAGAAAATTACGAAATAAAGACAAATAACTGGCAGTTTATTAAAATATAGAACCTTTTTACCTATAGCGCCTTCTGGAGATTACAGTAAATCATTTTAATCAACCCATCTGGTCATGTTTCTATTTTTTAAGGGAATGTTGGATACTGACATCACTTCAAATATACCTGCACTTCAATATGAAAAGATATAAAACACCTGTATATATATATATATGGGGAGACAATTTGACATTTGCGGGCCATATTTAATAGCAAATAGCTCAAAATAACAGACGAGAATCCAAACACCTTTCATTGTCTCTACTGTGTGTCATGTACTTTCTATTAACACTAATACATTATAGCATGAGCTTTCAGAAATAAGTAATGACCAAGTTAAAGTACAGAGACCTTTGTGTATAAATGACTTTGAAGGCGCGGTTGGGTCACAGTTTAAACTTAAGCTAACAAACATCTGCTGAACCAACTGCAGAGAAAACAAATTCACCATTAATTCATTAATTCACCATTTTTTGTTAATTAAATAATAATAATAATAATAATAATAATAATGGATTACATTTGTTTTGCATTAAAAATGTGGATCTAAAAGAAAAGTATTGTATACTGGTGTGAATAAGCTGTCTGATCAGTAAGTCATTTGGCTGTACGATGACATTGCAAAACATCCTGAAACGTTATTCCGACAAACAAAGAAACTTTTGGGAAAACTCGGAGAACAAACTGAAATGATTTTTCTTATCTGCATCAAATGTCTGCTGAGAAATCTCTCTCACACCTTTCTATAACCTCACTGGATTTGACCCTTTTCTCTCTAGTCACACTTGATGAATGACATGTAATGACACCACTTTAACAGGCTATGCATTCTTTGTGATAGATCATCAACTCTGACAGAATCTCTCTCTGAAACTGGCTCAATCCTGTCTTTCTTCACTCTCATAATTTACAACACGCTGATCGGTTCTTCCTCTACGTGTCAGACGGTCTTTCTCCTGGTGTGTCTGTCCCTGCAGAGCCACAGGAAGGGGTTGGGGCTGACCGACCTCTTGACCGTTTTCTTTGCCTGTCCCTGTCTCTCATCGTCAGGTGAGGAGGACACACCATCTCCTGCTTCCTCCCCACCTCGAAGATGTGCTACAGCCGTGAGTCTCTCCCTGGACTGACTCCTTTCCCTCAGTATCCTGAACGGGGACATCAGCCTGGTCCTGATGGGGGACTCGGGGGTTCCTGATCTGATTACCTGGGGCTGGGAGAGAGGACTGGGAGTGTCTGTCCTTCTCTGTGTAGGACTTCCTGCTTTTACCCTCAGTAGCATTTGCCCTTTATATTTTGGCCCCTGTTTGTTCTCCTGCCTCCCTCTCATGCTCTCTAAAGGAAACAAGCCTCTCTGAACTGTGTCCTGCATCTCCTCCTCTTCTTCCACCTCTTCTGGCTGTCTGTCTCTCTCCCTGCTACTCTCTGGGCTGTCCTGCCTGGTCATCAGTAGGATCCTCTTGTGGAGGACAGCCCCACCTATGCCGTAGCTCCTCAGGCTGATGGTTCCCGTCTTTGTGCTGACGTCACTGGTCAGTGATGAGGAAGATCCCGACAGGTTCATCTGGCTGGAGTTATGGGACTTGGCCACGCCTCCCACTGAAAAAGGGGGAATGGAAGTGAGATGAATATAATGGACAATAAATAGTTGGATATTTAAAGGGCAACCCCACCTAAATTAAAAATGGTATTTCCATTTCTTAGTAAAGAAGGAAGTATTAAGTCTGGAGCTGTTCAATAGACACTGAATGACAATGGGGGCTGATTTTGTGAACCTACATAATAGTTGTTTTTGTTTTTATACTAAACAACTCTTATTCTTTTGTTTTGTCTTCAGTTGTGATTAGAACATGTAGCCATATGACACAACTCCCTGGGTGTTCTCAGCGTCATCTGTAACATGTTTCCCTATTCGTTGTGTCATTTCTAAAGACGTAGCATTTTAGATTTCGGATTTGGAAGAGATTTGTTCCTGTTAATTCAAATGTTTTGACTCTTTTAGACCATAGGAGTAACAAATGACAATAACACGTCACCTTGGGTAAAGTAGGTTTTTTGATCCTGAGATCAAATCACACAGGAAGAAAATCTTTGTTTCTGGAACTGACCTTTTCGTGGGGAGCCCTGAGGCGACACCGTAGGGCTGGAGTGAAGGGAGGAGATGGTGGAGACGGTGTCATCAGAGGGTCTCTTGGTGATCCACTCCTCCGATGAGGGCACTGGAGCTTTCTTTATTACCTGGGGAGTGTTGAAGGCTAAGAGACAAAAGAGGAAACAAGAAAGCATGAAAATTACATCATAATTATAATATATTATCATATAAAGAATATTGATGATCTAGAGCAGGGAGGTCAAACTCAAATACACAGTGGGCCAACATTTAAAAATGGGCCGGACTGGTTCAATGTTTATTGCAAAAGTTATTGAAATGAACTTACTGCACATATTAAACCTGAAACTAACAAAGCTTGAATGATTGCCTATAAAAACAACTTTAAACATTAAATAATCAGTTGCATTCATTTCTTATGGCTCTATCTGCAGCTTTTCCGGAGTCATTTCTTATGATGTCATTGTTCCACAGGCCAACAACAGCTTCAAAAAAACTATTTCCCTCAAAGAAAAAAACAAACATGCCGTGTTGTCGTGAGAGGAAAAGTGCAGAAGGAAACATCCATTAAACTCAGTGTGCTGCTCTGTGATGCTAGTTCAAGCCGATACTTGGCATCTCATCTTGGGTGCAAGTTCATCAATGTTTGGGCTCAGGCTCTGAGCTGAGGAAACCCTCAGGGTTGAGTGAAGGTGTGCGTGCAATATACCGGCGGGCGAGATCTAATAGTAATTAAAAATGATCCTGCGGGCCCGAAATTAAATCCACCAAGGGCCTGATTTGGCCCCCGGGCCTTGAGTTTGACACATGTGCTCTAAAGTATCTTGCAGATGTACTGACTTGGTTGGCCGATGTCCTTGGCTGTGCTCTTCTTCCGGAGAGGGTTCAGAGGGACCTGCACCTGAAGGACTTGGGAGACTCTGTTCTGAGTTTTCCCCGAGGGCAGAGTGGAGCGCAGGGACACCGGAGACATGTCCGACTTCGTGGACCGTCTCTCACTCAGGTTCTTAGACACTGCAGCCACAGGGAGACACAACATGGATTATCAAAATACAATTATAGGTCATTTTCTTACTTACTGTACCGTATTACTATTAAAGTCAAAAGGGCATAACGGATGATAAGATAATATAAGCATCAGATGTAAGAGATCTGTTTTGTTAAATCTGTATACCTTTCAAGAACTAACTTCATTTGATTTTTAAAACGATATCATGTTTATCTTGAGTTTAAGAACTTCAAGAACTGAGCAGAAACCGTAAAATATATATTTATTGCAGTGATAAAACGCAACATTATCACATATAATAATGATTAAAGCGACACAATTCAGTTTAGAATATTGCAGAGGATTTACATGATAATCCATTATTTATTTTCTGCAGGACATTTGCAAATACACTAGGTGGCAGTGCAAGTCAATCATTTATATTACAATAAAAGTATCTACAGTATATTATGTACTCTGATGATCAGTTATTATCCACTTACATTTTTTTTTATTGTTAAATACATGTATTTTACCTGCCATTCCATCCAGCAATCAATTTCTCACATATAAAGCATAAATATATTCTGAGTTATAATACATTATGCAATATGTGTAATGTCCTTCTACTGATGTGTGTACACCAGGTAGGTTAAAGGTCAATGGCATTGGCGCTCTTCTGACATATAAAGATATATTTATGAATAATCTAAAGTAACATAAATATATTTGGACCCTTAAGGTACTGATGCTAAACAGTGAGGTAGTGAGACTGTTTCCTTTACTCACAGGTGCTGTAGGACGGCTCACACTGCAGGGAGCTGAACTGATGCTTCTCCTCGTCTATCTCCACCGTCAGGTTGGACAGGTACTGCTTCACCTTCCTGGCCATCTGAGCGTCTTCATACAGCTTCTTGGCGTTGAGGAGCGAGCTGCGACGCACTCGCTTCTTGTGGGCGCCGCCCTGCACGTCCAGCATGTTGGAGTTGGTGCTGCCTTGACTCAGAGACCTAATGAGGAGAAAAGAGAGGAAGGAAGAGGAAGGAAGGAAGGGAAGAAGACAGAGAGGAGACGAGAGGAAGAAAATGAAGGAGAGGGAAAGACAGACATTGGGGTGTGGAGGGAATTTCGAAGAGGTGAGAGTAATGGAGAAAGTGTTGATGGATGGGCAGAAGATAAAAGAGTAAGAAAGATTAAGAATAGAGGAAGATAAATGAACATGAAAGTTTAAAGACAGAAAAAGGAAGGAAGGAGAGAAAGGAAAACAACAATAAGTACAATCACAGATAAAACAGGCGCATATCTTTTCTCATCAAATACCTACTCTACTATAAAATCTATCTTTGTGTTGGGGCATAGCATTTTAAAACAGGACCATGCAACTGGGAGGGAGGCAGCTCTCGCTGGTGGGCCATGCTATCACAGAACATTCTGTCAGATGGAGGCAAAAAGGGTTAGGGAACAAAAGATGCACAAGTTCAGATATGGGGAATATTATGCCAGGATGCAAATATGGACAAACAACCAGGCCTGAGTCAAATAGGTTTGGATGGCGGTTCATACATATATATACATATATATAAAGTCTATAAATGGTTAATTTTTGAACTTGCGACCAGCAGCTGACAACACAATGTCACCTAAAGGTCCTTTTAATTATGGTTCTGGAGCCAGTAGTGTTACTTGTTTCATTCTTGTCCATGTTGCCTTGATACGTTTACATTTCATTTTGTGGCTAATCTGACTTTTCATTAAGCAATTCCTTTACTGTTTCCAAACAAAAAAAACTTGGACAAGAAGTCCCCAAAAGGCTTAGAAAATATAGAAACTTGAAAATGTATAGACCTATGGATATGATCAAAAAGGTCTCAAATATGTGATAGATTGACCTTGAGGTGAGATTGTTGGGACAGTTACATTTTTGATAAAATGTACATTTAAATATCATTAAAAAACCTCTCTGGGACTATTTCTTGGTTTTGTTGTCTGTAAAGTGTGTTGTCTCTTATTTTCTGCTCTTTTAAATTGTATGCGTGTATAAGGACAAATGACATTTAAAATCATGGCATTAAACACTAGAAATATTTAAATCTTTTTTTGACTTCTTTTCATTATGTGAATGTGTCTTAAAAAACACTGAGGATTATTCCAAGCTCCTATTTGACTCAGACATACAAATCTTATGAACAGGGCAAACAATGAATGGGTAAACGATGGACGTCAGGATGGTTCAGAACTGCAAATGAAGGGTTAATCGCACACAGGCGCAGGCGGACACACATGGACACGATAAAGAAACGGGGGAGGGACATGCAGAGTTTATGGTGGTGGGGATGCAGGGCGGATTGAATTTCTGCTGGTCCGGAACAGGATGGACCCGGTACCAGGACACACTTACCCTAAACTCTTCCACCTCTTCTTCCTGAAAGCAAGAGGTGTGAAGATTGAAGCGTGACTTTTAGACAAGTTTAGGGGGTCGAGGGGGGGGGGGGGGGGACGACGACGACGGATGACAAGACTATGTAGAGGTCATGCCACCACAGACAAACAGAAAATGACTGAAGATGGGAGGACATTAGACATATGGCTTCTCCCCATATCAACCTGAAGAGTGTGAGGGACGGCCTTGTGCATCGCGCTCTCGTGAAAACAGGTCGTTTCAAACTTTTTTCAATGATGACATAGTGTAAAAAGGAGATATCTTGAGCTTGTAGTGTGAGGGGAGTGCCTGCAGAGGGCAGCCATGCACCGCAGTAGTGACACACACACACTGAGTGATACCAACTACACACTGGGGTTGGCATCAATTCCCCCTCCCCTTCCAGTCTCTCCATGCCTTTTGTCTTTAGTCTGAGGAATGCAATCGAGCCGTGGAGCCGTGGAGCAGACAGGAAGTGAGAGTGAATTGATAGAGCCAGACCTCGAGTGGTGGTGAGGGATCCAGGGTGGTTGGTGGAGGTAAGGTGTAGTGGTTCACCTTTCAATCACATTGTAGTAAAGTAGAAGTGAAGGTGTCTGTTTAAAAACCTCTAATCCACCTCCCTATTCTCTCTGCATTCATGACAGTTTTGTAACAGTCTGGCTGATAGGAAACAGGAAGAGTCTGTTTCAAAGATACACATATTTCAAATTAGGTATATTTACTAAACCACAAAACATTGACAATTTGGCTGACAGTAAATCATTTGAAACGCAAATCAACTGTTCATGATTTTTGACCTGTATCTGTGAAACTGGCTCCAACAGCATCGGTTAAAGCAAATGTCGGTACAAATGTAGAAGAAAAAGGGTTTGAAGCATCTTGGTGTGAAAGCAACCAACCTCTGTCTGAACATGAGGGCGGGGTCCATGTTGGCCGAGGTCAGCCGCACCACGTGTCTGATCTCCTTGGCGATCATCCTCAGCTTTTCAAAGTTCACGAGGCCGTCGACACTGGAGTCATTGCCTGGGAGGACAACACACACACAAGCGCGAACAATGAGCATGAGGTCAGCCCTTAAGGTGTTAAGATGACGAATGATTTATATTTTGGGACGTTTGCAAGATTTAACTCGCAACAGTATTTCTAAGTCAAAACTTCAAAGTGAAAATCTCTTTGTTCTGGTCTCTTTCTTGTCAGTCCTCTAGGAGATCAAAGTGCTCTTTCATATCCAGTGGTGCTGGGCCATTTGAGAATTTTGGGCAACTTGCACAATTAGGGAAACTTTCTAACTAAGAGTTCAGCCTGGGTATCTTTGACCTGACTTGATATGTGAAAAGTCAAGATGGGGAAGCCTTAAGCAGAAGTAAACCTCCTGAGTGAGACTGCAATTGACCTTCGGCGCAACACGGAGGAACTAGGGGAAATTAAACCGTGCAGGATGACATGTCAAGTTTCAGAAACTGTCTGTTGATAGGCCAAGCCAAAAGGAAATGTAGCAACATGTTCGTATCCAAAGAAATGCAGAAATGAAGAAGAAATGCCCTCCACAAAGCCATATACCTTCATGTAAGAAGGTGAGGTCCTTCTTGACGACGGGGAACAGGGGGATGATGGGAGGTTGCATGCTCTGGCTGCTCAGCACATTGCGGTACTTTGACATATTCCGGGACGGGTCGAAGACATCCTGCAGGTCTCCGAACAGCTTCTCGTACTTACTGGGCAATTTCTCCCACGAGCTGCGCAGCCGAGCCACGGGAGCCAAGTTCAGCCCGCTACGTGAGGGAGGAGAGGGGGGGAGGGAGGGAGGAGAGGGGGGAGGAGGGAGGAGAGGGGGGAGGAGGGAGGCAGAGATAAATGGGTTACGGTGGGAAAAAGGGAGGGGGAGGACAAAGGTAGAAATGAGGAAAATCGGAGAGGGGAAAGCAGGGTAGAGGAGAAAGAGGAAAGGAGTTTTAGTGTGAATTTACATCCCAATCAAAACCCAATACTGACATCCGAACAATTACTACTTCTACTCAAATCATCTTCACTTAGCAAGGTCTACATTTCCCAGAGCGGGAGACCCCCTTAAGGCAATGTCATCTCCGAGCAGACTCATTTAGACAGCTAATAATTATGACTGGCACTGCATTTATTTCTGCTCTCACTTCATCATCTCTCCAGCTCCTCTCCCTCGCTCATCATCATCTGCACCATTTGGGTTTTCTACACTTTCGTTTTGCAAGGTATATTGATGTATATATATATATATATACACGTTTGATTTCTTCTGGAAGAGTATAGATCTTGTTTGTCATACAGTAGGACTATAAAATGACTGGCTATGGCTATGTATTTAAATGGTCAATCTGGTATTAGTAATACAAGGTGAACCAGGTTTGTTTTTATAATCTGAATACCTTCTTTTATCCCAATCCATATATTGAATTATCTTTATTTCTCATTTTATCACCAGTCCAATA